ACACACACACACACACACACACACACACACACACACACACACACACACACACACACACACAAAAGAAAAAGCACTCAAACCCACGGGAAAACCACAAGATTGTACTACACAACCACCGCACTGGCAAAAATTAGAAAATAACAAAGTGTTTGTGAGAATGTAATGCATTAGGAACTAAAGGTTCTCTCAAGTTCTTTGCATCTGTGAACAGACCGCATTTAAATTTCTCTTGACTGAGCACCAGTTATCAATCACTGCTTCTTAGCTTCGCTGCCTGCTCTGCAAACATAAAGGTGGGCCTTTGAAGGTCTCCTTTGTCAGCTGGCACGTACAGCCTCGTGGGTAGAGGCGCTGGAGGGGCACTGGAGGGCTGGAGGGAGCGGAGTTTTTCTCTTCCTGGTTCTGGGTAGTCCTCTGGCCATGCTTCTCCTGTTTCTCTGGCGTTCATCTCCTGCAGCTTCTCCAGTGAGGAGCTCTCGCACAGCAGGACCAACCAGCAGTGTCCAGGAGCTAGAAACTTCCTCAGGATGCTTCGAAGCCAGTTTCAAGTCATGGAAGATTTCTGTGGACGACTCCCCCCTGCACCCCAGAGGGTGGATTTCCATCAAGTTCTACCAACACCACCCCTCGGCGACTTCACCACCACCCAGTGAGCCACAGCCGTGCCCTCTCCAAGCAGGCCTGCATCTCAGGCCTAGGGGGAGGGGAGCCTCTTCCCTGGACACTCATCTTAGCCCTGGGGGCACTGGCTGCTCCTTATATCTGCAATTCCTGTGTTCTTTGGCATTCTCTTTACTCCTTAGTAGTCAATCCCCTGTTATTTCAAGCCTTTGTTATAGTTAGTAATTCTTTATTTAAAATTTTCCCTGTTCAAATTGCAGTGCGGTTTGTGTCTCCTGGTTGTACCCGAGCTGGCAGAGCAGATGGAGAGAAGGAAGGGAGGGAGGGAGGGAGGGAAGTTGTGAGGAAGGGAAAGAGGGCCCCAGGGGAAGCGAGAGAAGATGGCATCAAGCACAAGCCTTAGAAAACAAGAACAGTTCAATCAGTCGGGACCAAGTCAGACAGACAGAAACCAAACTGTTCTTTAACAAAGAAAATTTAATATATGGAATTGGTTCAACTAAAAAGGCAACACTGAGGTAACACAGAGATTAAGGCTACAGGAAACCACCACCTACCACCCTTCAAACTGGAGGCACAAAGGGAAGAGGGTAAGGTTGTGAGAACCCAGAAGCCTGGAGGGGCTCTGCAGAGCTGGAACCTGGGCCTCTGTGGAAGGGGCTGCCCAGGCTACCGCTGGCACCTCTGGCACGTGGAAGAAGGGCCCAGGCCAGCTAACAGTGGTGTCTCTAGGAAATACTAGGAGGCTTTCCGAGTGGGAAGGAAGCTGGAATGGGAACCATCCAGGGGAGACCCGAGAAGGGGGCAAGTCACCCTTTCCCCCCCTGCCTCCTGGTCCCCACTAGATCCTTCATTGGCTAAACCTCACTGAAAGCGGAGGAGAAATGTGTTTCTGGACTCCCAGCCCCTGCACCACGAAACAGAGCACAGAGGGCTAAGCTCAAAGCCGAGTAACAACAGCCCCGTAACCAGAACGACACCCAACATTAGACAATCACTAACGCGACATGTATGGTTCCAAGTGCTTTATTTTATACAAGTTCTTATTTAATTGTCACAGTAGGCAGATATCTTTATCACGTCACCCAAGTCAGCAGCAGGAGAGGGCCCCAGACCCCACACACCAAGAGAAGAGTGCGATCAGTAAGCCAGTTCTCACGGGTATGCGATGCTGGTAAGTAAATACTTAAAATACTTGTGCACTTTGCAGTGAACAGACGCTACCGAGAATCCCTGCACGCCCACCCCTGGCCCAGCCCCCTCCTCAGGTCACACAACTAAAAGCCAGCGCCCGACAAGCCTCAGTCCCAGCCCTCCGTGCCAGGCCCCAGCTACCCCTGCCTGGCACCCACGCTGAGGGATCAGCGCCTGCACCCGACTGTTCGCTGTTTTCAAAGTGGTTACTTTGGGGCCAGGACAGTGCATACAGACAGAGTAGCATGTGATGAGACCCTGAGTGGAGAGAGAGCGAGACACT